TTTTTTTCATTCTCTGATTTATAATATGTCACATTATTCAAATATGATTTCTGCCGATTTCAATAGAAGAATTATCAACAAGTTACAGAAGTCATTTATACTTATTTCTATTCATTCCTTTGAAAAAAATAAAAGTGAAATAAAGACCCATTAAAATAATTTTAAAAAGTTAAGGATCTAATTACAATAATTAAAAGGTTGGGGACCTCTGAATCAATAGTATGAATTGTAGAAAAATCATCTACACAAGTAACTCAAAAGAAAAGGAAAAAATTTTTTTAGTAGATTCTGCTAGACATAAATGGTAAATGAAATTAAATTTGAGATTTGGTGCCATTAACTATGAGATTACAAAAAATCTACAAGAATAAGCAAAAATTTGTGTCATAAATGCTCTTTATGTTGGGAAGTGATTCCATGTATTCTGTAATTTTGATTTACCATGCACTCTAGATCACATTCCACTTAAATAAGTTTGTCTTTTTTTTGTTTTTTAATCAGCAAACAAATTTCTTGTTATGGTAATTGTTGTTATTGATCCTTTAATATTTTTGAATTTCGATAGTTCTCCTTTCAGGTAATTTAGCTTCCTTATTCTATTTTATAATTTTTTTTGGAATAATTCTATTTTGTAAGTTAAATATTACAAATTTACAATAATATTTTCTCTACCTTGCAACTTATGTGAAGAAAATTAAATGGCCAATTCCTTAGTATTCGTTATTATTTCTATTTAAATATTTACTTTATTTTTATAATTTGATTAAAAAACAATAATTTCATCAACCGGGCATGATGTGTCCTCATAGTAACATACCACGGGATATATTGCGTCTTATTTTGTTCTTTTGAAGAAGAGGAAAATCTATTAGGACCTACTTTCTTTTTCAATTATGATTTACATCTTCATTGTGTTGTATAAATATGTAACTCATTCGAGTCTTTACTTAAGCCTCATTTATGCATTTAAATTGTAAGTATTGCACAATGAAAAACAAGTATGAGAACTTGTTTATACCAAAATTTGTCTTTTGTGAAATAGTTTTCTTAATCAATTTAGAAATTGAATTAGTGATTTACCAAAATATTCAACCAGTTGAAACGCAAGTAAGTTCTTGATTATTTGCAATTAGAAGTTTCATATTTCAATATTGGCATCCCGATGAATACTAATGCTCATCGTTTGTTTTCTTTGGTAACAATTAGGCACGAGACGAAACAAGCACGGGGGGGTGGACTTGTCCTGGATGGGTAAAGTTTGTGTAAAGTTGCAGGAGATGCTTCAAAGAAGTATCAACCAACTACAATTGTGATACAGAAGGCATCTCCTTACCAACTACAATTGTGATACCGACGATGGCATCTCCTTCCCTTCAGACATTTCAACTCTTATAATTCGGGCAACGTCTAGAGGACTTAGGATTGCAATCAAGTATGATGGGAAGAAATTACAACCAGGAGATGGTTTACGATTTTCAGCTATGATATAAGTGACATTTTAATTTAAATCCAAATTGAAATCCGAGATTTTTTCACTTAAGAGAAGCTAATGACAATAGCTATCTCAATTAGGAAAATGGTTGAGAAACAATATTTTCATATGATTTTTTCATACAATTTTATATGTTATTTAATAATTGATTTTTTTTACTCTATTAAAATTTGTAATTATATACTTTTATTCATTTAATAATATATTGGAATTGTATAAAAAGCTATTTGTATATCATTACTTATCTTGACTATTTGTCTTATGCTTACATCATTTTGGTCTTTATTAGTGAATAAGGTGTGATTTCAAAATGTAATTAGTAATACAATTTTCTAAATAGAATATGATATCTCGTATAAAAATTATAGCAAGACCTTCCAAGTTCCAAAATTAAGACTACTATTTATAAAAATTTTCTGTCATTTTCACTAATAAATTGTCATTTAATTAAATATTACAGAAAAATCGATAATCATGCCTCTGATTAACGAGGAGGGTTCAACAGCAAACAAAAAGGATTAATTCAGCAGAAATACGCACATATATAACTCCATAAGAAATTGTATTAATTTAGATGGACCACATAAGAAAACCGTATTAAGTCCGGGACTATAAAGAAAAATCAAGAAATTGGACAATGACCCGAGCTCGAGTTGGAAACCTCGACCCGACTCGGTCTATCCTGTTGTCTGTGCTGCTATTTTCGATTTTCCTAGAGCACCGAGTGACGGAGCTCCGCCGTGAAGACTCAAGACTTTCCGACGAGTAAGGGTCAAATGTTGGCTCAGAGATTTTGGTCGCATTCGCGCTTAATTCTTTGGAACAGAGCTATTTTTTCGTGTTTCTGCATCTCCCAAAGAAGTGCCTTCAGTTTTTCTCTCAATTTATCCTCATTTAAAAGCTCCAAAATCCTGTGTTCCTGTTCCAATTCCATTCTTCAAAATGGGAAGTTCTCTTCTGATAAAGACCCGTTATCGCCTCTCTCAACAGTTTCTCCTCTTTCAGGTACCCATTTATATGGATTAGAGTAGAAAATGGGACAAATTGTGAATGGGTCAATGGTTGTTCGTTTTCCTTTTGGATATTTCAATGATACTGTTAACAATCTAGTTCTGTTTTCTGGTTGTATTACATTCGCAGGACTAGAGGATGAATTGGTAGGATATGTCTTTGGGAAGAAGAAGGCAACAGAAGTGGCTCACCTGTAGGTACTTAATGACAAATGTTTTAATTTTCCATTTTTAGTGTTTCCTGTAAGTTTTTTCTTTTTCTTTTTTTTCCATTTTTTTTTTCTCCCGTTCTATATGCAATGATGAATCCATAGTCAAATTGTACCTGCTTTGGATGGGGCAGCAAAAATGATTGGGGCTTTGCTTTTATGAGCTTGTAATGTCTTTAAGCTTTGCTGTGAGGATTTAAGGTTTCTTAATAAGTGAATGAGCGGGTAAGGATGAAGAATAAGAATTGAGCTGTAGGAGACATTAGCTGGAGCAGTTATACACCAGTTGAATCTAAAATATGAGGTTGTTTGAGATAACTAGGAAAAAACACCTTATTCACATTGCTTGCCTTAAAGTAAGTCGCTTTTAGTTGACATGTTTCTCATAACTGTTCTTCTTCACTACTTTCTATTGATTTGTTTTGTTATTATGGTCATTTGGAAGTAAATAAATGAAATCATGTAGTCACTATACTTAGCAATCTTCTGTTTAAGAAAAGATTAATGCATTGATACATGTAAATGGGCTATCCATGCTGTTGAGATGGTTGTATGCTCAGTTAATGGCAAGGGAATCTATATATCTTTATGAAAGCATTATTCTTGCTATTTATAAAACTATATTTATCAAATACTTCAGTCAGAGTACTTTGAGAAACAAGTTTCTTTTCTTGACTTGATAATTGCTGCCTGGTTCCTTGTCTTGAACCAACTCAAAGCATTTGGAGGTAAAAATAGGAAGAGAGAGAAAGCTGATAGGCTGACCTTAAATAATTGAAAAGGCTGGCTAAGCAAAACACAAATTGGATCTGGGCAATTTTTTTTTTTTTTCATGGCCCCATTTTCTTTCACTCTGGCAATTTTGTTTTATTCTGTTTCACAATATGAATGCTGAGTTGCATGTTTGTAGAATAACATTATACATTGTTTGTTGTTATAAATTGCCTTTTTACGTTTTCAGCATTAGTATTTTGGTCTTGAATTTCTTTCTGCCTTACATCTTTGTTACCAGGGTTTGGAAACATGTTGTACAAAAAGGGGATACGGTCATAGATGCCACATGTGGAAATGGTTATGATACCTTAGAAATGCTAAAATTGGTTGCTGATGACTCAGGTAGGGGTTGTGTTTATGGAATGGACATTCAGACTGAGGCTTTAGGGAACACTTCTTCTTTGCTGGATGGAACCGTCAATCAGAAGGAGGTGCTACTGTTTTTCTTTTTATTGTATAAGCTTTGTCCAGAACAATTGAAAATAAAATGTAAAATTTTGGTTGATGAAGGCCATCTTAACATTCTTTCATTGACTTAAACCATCATTCTTAAATTGAAAATCTCTGGTTTGATATTGCTGTAGCTTAACCTTATATTCTAGTTGCTAGAATCAATGTTCTTGTTGTTCATTTGGTTCTAATGAGCTGCAAAGTTTTGCAGAGAGAACTAGTCAAGCTCTTCACCATCTGCCACAGTAGAATGGAAGAAGTTATTCCAGCAAATACTTATGTTAGGTACTTTGCAACTTCTGTTCTCTTGCTCTTTCTTCTGTCATCTAAATTCCATATATAATCAATGCGAAGGCCATTGAACCTCCCATAGTTTGCCCTTTTGTTGTAGCTAACTTGACTGAATTAGAATATTCCACTTCAAAAAAATATGGATGCTTGTATGTGTTTGCTATGTTAATGTGTGTTCTACATCAGCCCAAAATTTGATTCCTCCGGTATTTCTAGGCTTGTTGCTTTCAACTTGGGATACCTTCCAGGAGGTGACAAAGGGATTATTACAATGTCCACAACAACATTGTTGGCCTTGGAAGCTGCAAAGAAAATCTTAATGCCAGGGGGCCTTATCAGCTTGGTGGTCTATATAGGGCACCCTGGTGGAAGGTAAATTGCTTTATCAACTGGATAATTTTGTTCCCAAGGTTATGATTTCTCTTATGCAGTGAGGCTCGGCTAGCCCCTTGAGTCATCCTATTCTTCACCAGAAAGATTGGCATTGGATTTTCAATTGATGTTTATATAACACCTCTCTGTTTAATATTAATTCTGATTAAGCATAACATGCAAAATTCTGATGTTTGCTTATTCTAATTTCTGATCAGGGAAGAATTGGAGACAGTTGAAGCCTTCGCTTCTAGATTACCGGTTGAGGACTGGATATGCTGCAAGTTCCAGATGTTAAACAGACCATTAGCTCCACTGCTTGTTTTCATGTTCAAGAGATGAAATCACAGAGGATTTTCTAATTATTTCAACTCTTGTACCATATAGCAAATTATAAACCTTATTTATTTGTTTAGACACATAAACTCCTTGATTTGAGGATTGGCTTAAAAATGCATGCACAAACTCAACGACATATGGAAAATAAATAAATAAATAAACAAACAGGTGAAGAGATTATGTGATGGTATTATCAACCTAGCACTAACATTGCATTAAAAAAAAAAAAAGAAAAAAGAAAGGCTCAGTACTAATGTTACACTTGCAAAATAACAATAATCAGTAAGTATGCCATGTGTTGGCAAAAAAATAAAGAAGTATGATGCCATGCGTGGATCTTGCTGTAGAGAATACAGTCCCCTTTAAAATGTGCACACCAAAATAGGATAACACCATCGATCGCGATGGGACTCGAACCCACAATCTCCCGCTCCGGAGGCGAGCGCCTTATCCATTAGGCCACGCGATCTGTTTGGTTAGAAAAGGTATTGCAAAATTCCTTGTTGAAAATAATTATTTTATGATTATAAAAAATAGTGGACGAAATCATTAGAAAATATAAGTAGCAAAAACCAAATATTTTATAAGGCCTAAGAACATCATCAATGGAGGAAAGCTGAGGGTTGATAAACACCTTTTATCAGGTAATGCTTTTCCACACGTACACAATGGCTTAATGCAATAGGTAGAGATCCATTAGTATGTTTGTCAAGTTTTTTCCTCTGTTATGATACTATATATATTCGTGTTTTTACCTTGTCATGGTTCTATTTAAATTTAATATCTTTCAATTTTTTATTTTGTAAATTTAAATATTATCAATGAGATATTAAAACATTATTAGAAAATAAATTATCAATATTGTGGAGTTACGTTGCTAAAAGCCTGTAATATGTTATTAAAAATAGTGCAGCATAGTATAGTATCTTAGTGATTGTCTCTTTGAAAATGCTTCCCTTGTTAGGATTAAGAAAATAAATATTAAAGTAGCACAATGGAGCAATTGATTCACCTCCAAAGTTTAATAGTTTTTCATAAAGTTGGGAATTCAACTCTCACCTTTAGCGTAATTAAAAATTACCCCATTTACCTCAAATTCTCCATGTTAACAAAAAAAAAAAATCTTATGAAATAAAAATCATAAAGGAAGGATAATCCATAACCAATATAATGTAACACGCATCACCTCACCTATTGAAAAAGTCTTTTATTTAATTTCACACGAATATAACTGCTACAAGATGGATTTATTTATTCTCCTACAAATGGATGTTTCTTCTACAACAGCAAACCCCTAATATTTCTATGTTGTCTATATCTGCCTCAAAATAACAGCACAATACTGCAGAGTACTCTCAGCACTCCATATAGATGTGATGTATTCCAAGGTGAACAAAAAACAAATAAAAATAAATAAATAAATGAACCAAAATGCATTCAAGAAGAGGACCTGCTCCTGATCTTGTACCGGTAAAAAACCCTCCTCTTCTTGAATGATGAATTCTCAACTGAGATCACAACCTTCCCAGGCTCATTGTTCTTGAACGAGTTTCGAGTCGGTCCTTCCTGACTTCCTA